CTGCCAGAACGCCTCAATGGGAGAACACAGCACACATGGAGTGGCTGCAAGGACAGATGAGAAGCTGGAGAACAAAAGAAAAGATCTGGCCCTATGAAGCACCTTGCAAAATTGATTTGCCAAACATTTCATTAGCTCCCTCCTGAAAACACGATTCATTAGCACAGTTTAGTATTACACCGAGGCAGTGAACCACTGAAGGTTTTGTCCATGGCCACTCAATAATGAAGTGCAAGATACAGCGCTCAGCGTGTTGCATTCACTGGTTCGATTCATTCCCGTTGAATCTGGTGTGCTGCTTTTTCTGCCCATTTCTTTTATCATTTTTCTTTGCATGGAACGAAATGCTTTAGAAAGCCTAACCCATCATTCAGGATATATTTTCAATAGGAACCCACATGATACATGTTTCTTTTCCGCACATATCTCAGCTCCAATGGCTTTCTGCATTTTGTCTAATTTTATTTCACGTATCCATTTTCATTAAAAAAGCAATAAAATTAAACTAGGAAAAAAACCTCCTGCGATGGTTTTATAATCTCCTTCTCTGTGTGTATAAAGCGGTCCTTGGTACCTGGTCTCAGCTGAAGTGAAACAGCAGCGCATTGCTGCTTTCGAGGGAGCACCGTGACTCCACATCATCAGAGCCCGTGGCCTTTCATTCCTGGGCCCGCAGCGCTGAAACACACTTCACACCGAGCAGCTTGGTCCTTGGAGGCTTTGTTTGCCTTTCTTTAAAAAGGCTGCTGGTTCTGGCTTATTGCAGGAGAAACAAGCCAGACCCCAAACAACTGAACTTGTTTTCTCCAGCCAGTGAGTCATATTCTTGATCTTGCTATGAGCTAACTACCAATCTTTATCTTACGTAACTCCGCTCTCTCAAGAGTCCCTGCCGATCAACACATGCATACAGGCTTCGCTTCCAGCTACGCTGCCGAGTGTTTCTGCTCTGACCCCTGCAAAAAGACTTCTTATATTCACAGGAATAAACTGTCACCTCAGCCAGGCTAGAAGTGACAAGGGCTATCAACTCGTATGCCTTGGAGTATAAATTAGTCAGTCCCTGGGAATTAAAAAGGCTTTTTCCATCTCCATCTTCATCCAGGCATATGGCATTCCTTGGTTTAAGATCTTTCCCAGCATGGCTTCCTATCAAATTTCAGACTAGCGAGATCTTTGCTCTCTTTCTGCCCGAGAACTGAATCGCAGCCCCTGGACCTAACCGCAGCGCTCCCTGGGCTGTCTTTGGGGACCCAAGACCTAAAACTCCCTGGCTGATTGGGCTGAGCCCAAAACACAGATTCCCCTTCGCCTTCCAAGGGGATTCCACAGGCAACTCTTCAATAAACACCAGCCTCAGAGCTGCTGCTACAAGTCAGCCAGAAAAGAAAGCATTTCGTCTGCTCTGCCTCTTCTCCCCACCTCCCCTCCATTCCCCTTCACCCCTTATCCAATTACGGTAAGCTAATAAGATCTTGTCAACTGACAGTTGATTTCAGCGTGTGTTTGTCCCCACACTCCTGCCAGCTGATGAGCATCTGAGGCTTTTGCATAACAAACCGAGGGGTGGAAATTAATTAGCATTTACTGCTGATATTTCTGAGCTAATTCAGTTAAGGCAAAAGGAGCCTAGTGTCACGCTCTGAGCGGCAGCGGTTTTAGCCCATCATCTCCCCCAGACATCGAGGGGCTAAGGTTCATTTTCAAGGTGGGGAGAGTCCTGGGTATCCACCTCCCTGCTGTGGCACTCTCTCTGCTCGGTGCTTTTCTCCATGCAACCACTTTCCAGTTCTCCTGGGGCACAGAGGTGGGTTTCCTGCAGGGAAACATCTCCGGAATGATCCCCACCAGATAATTTGACGTGCTAAAGACACAGAAATAATTAGAGAGCCATCTCAGCCAGAGCGTGGGAGTTTCATTTCGTTCCACCTGCCGCACGCTGAACACAATTAAAAGAGATGCCTGCCGTGCAGGCAAGCACAGTCCTAATCCCTGCCTCAAGCTGCAAGAGAAAGCGAAGGGCAGAAGAAAACGAGAAAATGGTTGACGCGTCTCCAGTGAGATGAGAAATCACAACAGCGCAGGGAGGCACCTCTGCAGCAGGTTCGGGAAGTCCGCCAAGCAGAGCCCTGGGCTCCTCTGCAAGCCCAAGCTGCCACTCAGGCTACCCTCAGCTTTAGGCATCCAGCCTCAGACACACGGAGACCGCGTTTTAGGGGAAAATGAGCTTCCCCAGTTGCAAATGAGAACAATTGCAGGGAACGAACACAAGAACCCCAGGGCTGCACTTGCACAAGCGTGATGTGTGCATTAGGTCAAGTCTCCCACCCTTGAGTTTCTGCCAGCTCTGACCAGTCACCTCCTCTTTACTGGTCTCAGACACACTGATACGGTAGCTTAGAGAAGGCTCATTCATTGCTTCCAAATTGCTGAAATATGAAGCACAAATCCCACGGCAGATCTTTTTCTATTTGCTGATCAAGAGAATAAAGAGAAATTTCCATTACCTTGCCTTCAGCTCATCATTCCAAGCAAAATCGCTCACATCTTTCTGACAGCTATCCAGAAATGGTAAACATTTACTGAGCAATTAAAGGAATATTTTATTCTAAGTCATTGCAATAATTACAATACCCTTAATGCTATAATAACGTACCTATCTAATTATGCTATGCTAGACTAGTACTAATTATACACACAATAACTATCTCTGAGCTCTTTCCACACTCAGTTTATCAGGAGCATTGCAGAACTTTCCCTTCTTCCTCCGCATAAGCCCCTCTCCGAGGGAGGATGCTGCAGAGATTATTGGGCCAGCATGATGTGTGGTACTGCAAGCAAACCAGCAATCATTTACTTGCACAGCTCCAGCTTCAAGGAAAGCTTCAGCTAATGCTTGACAGCTTTTCAGTTCTCACCTTTTTCTCAGCACTGGGGTCCTTCTTAGTGCCTTTAATGAAATCATTCTTCCCCTTCAAGTGTTGCTCGTACTCTGCAGGTGTCATATCACCATCTTCCATTAAAATATGAGGCATATGGGGCTCTGGAAATGCAGAGGATCGAGTGAAGAACAGCCTCGTTTAAACTTTAGATTTGCAAGAGATGCAGACACCCTCAATTGCAAAGGTACAGCAATAACACTGGGCTTGGGGCCAGCACGGGTAAGCTGGAGAGGGTCTGGTTTATCTCCCAAAAGGCCTAACCACAGACAATATTTGCCTGACATCTCCAAACCAGAAGTAATTCCACCTGTCTCCACAGCACGATGGGACAGGGTCCCAGAAAGGGGCAAGAACAGCAGAGAGAAAGCAGAGCCCACCTACCGCTTGGATGGATCAGGATCTCCACCGGTCTATCAAAAGTGTGCTTATTGGCCAGTGTGATCACAATGCTCTTTGCGGAGCGAGCAGCGGGGTCAGCATCTGCTCGGATCTCGTGCGTAGGGCTCTCAACACCTGGCCCGGGGAAACCGAGGTGCAGTTAGAGGCTGAGGGCAGGGACGATCAGAGAGAGGAGACAGCAAGGGAAGATGGCAAAGGACAGATGCCTGAGGACAGGAACCAAGCGGGCTGTGCAATGCTTCTGGAGTATCAACAGCCCGATTGCAGGTTGCCCACATTAACCTCTGCCTGGAGGGTGTATGAGAGCATCGGTAGCAGGCAAGCAATGGCCAGAGAAGTGCAACCAGTGTGGGGAGGGGCAAGATGCCACCAGCACTGTACTGGTGAATCCTCCACAGCGTAGTTAACCTGCCAAAACAGGCTCCACAGAGAAGGAGGAAGAGTGTGGAGATTGCCTGGAGGTGGTGGTGATACAGCCAGGCTCAGCAGAAGAGCCCCAGCCCTCCTACCTGCCAGCAAGCATGGCCCCCGGATCTCCAGGTGGAAGTTGAACTCGTACTCAGAGGGGTTGGTGGCCTCGTTCTCCAGCAGCTGAGCCAGGCAGAACCTGCTCCCATGCTCCGGGCTCCCCGATCCACAGTAGTGCCTGTCACTGCCAGCGAGACGAACCCCAGTCAACACTGTGCATGTGTTACATCCACCCCCCAGGGCTTGTACATCTGCTGGAGATAAAGCCTGCGACAGCTCTACCGCCTCCCGCAGCAGCAGCCCGTTCAACAGGGCTGTGGGTCTGCAAGGCCTCTGCTCTGCCAGTCCTACGTGCTCAACTCAGCAGGACTGGTCTTCTGGGGAGCTGGGGATGGGCGAGGAAAACACCAAAAGATCAAAAGGGACAAGGAAGGGAAAATCAGAGTTGGGAAAGGGCACGACACAAAGGAGACAGGAAGGGGAAACGGTGTTCCTTCAGGGCCAGCCGCGCTTTTAGATACAATGGTAAGGTAATTCCTAAAGATTTAGATCCCGATCTGGGATCCCAAGGATTTGGAAGCATGGTGGTACATGGGCCATCCCCCCAAATCCGTCCCACCCAGAGCCCATCCCATGGCTTCGTACATTCGGAGCTGGTGCCCAGAAAAGCTGCTGACACTCTCCAGGCCAGTCTGGGGGACCCTGGGGACGCACACAGCCGGCAGAAGGACTCTCACAGCCCCACTGGGCAGCGTCTGCAGCTCAGAGGAGGTGCCGATGAAGATGGACACATTTTGCAAGGGAGGAATCATGCCCAGGTTAGCCACAAAAACAATCCTCTCCAAGTCCTCATCCAGCGTGATCCTTCCTGCACAGAGAGATGGTCGCACTGGGAAGATGTGCTGCATCACAACCATAGAAAATGCTCCTCCCCAGGTCTCCTACGACCACCCCAGCCCAGGATCAGCTGCTCAAACCAGCCCTCGCTGGTTTGAGCCCAACCTGCCCTCCAGATGGTGCAGGAAGAGAGAACCGCAGCCGTTCAGCCCTGCCGCTCTAGGAGTGGTGGGTGGGAGTAGCCTTCGCCCCTCAGCACTTCCGTGCTCCTCTTCCCTTGCTTTTCTTCCCCACGTTCACTAAAATGCCCTGAACCCTCTTACCACTCCCACTGTGAGCTCTTCCATCAAGGAGGCTGCAGCAGTTGAAATAACAGTCGTCTATCTTGGCTTTGTCCTTGATCTGCACCGTTACAGCACGCCGGGCAACAGCCGCTTCGAACCCAACGACCGTGGTGCACTCGTCCAAGGGATAGACAAAGAGACCTGCCAGCCAGAAGGTTTTTAGCGACATTGCGCGCTCGACCTGGCCCACCAGCTAGGACTGCAGGAGGTCAGCTCCCCCTTCACATAGCCCTACACGCTCCTGGGATTTTTCAGGAAATCACTCTTCCAAAACCGTATCCCCCTTAGGCCTGTTTAGCCTCACTGTTATAACCCCTGAGGATACAATTAAGGAAACACCACACTTGGCTATTCTTCCTGCAAGTACCTAAAGATTTAAGACGTGCACAGAAGCACAGCCCACCATGCGGTAGCAGAGCTGCGATATGCTTGGCTTTCAAGCTCCTACGTAGCTTCTGCAGCAGTTCCTGCACTGGGAACTTCACCCCGCGCTGAAACTTGCCTTCGAAAGGCTGGGTCTCTGGATTGCCGTAGGTGAGCGAGGCTGTCATCCCAAAGGCATAGCCGCTGACACACGATTTCACCTCGGAGGCGGTGAGCGGGAGCGGCGAGCGGGTTGTCCGGTTAATCAGCCCCGGCATCTTCCCCGAGATCGGTCGGTCACGGTGGCTTTGTGGCTCACGATGAGCTGGAAATGGGCAGAAGGACGTGAGGAAACGAGGAGCCTCCCGAGCTCAAAACACTCCCACGCACACCCACCACCTCATTTTGGCTCCCAGAGGCCGGAAAGCAGAGAGACAACTCCTAACCACCCAGGCCCCTGGAAGCGGTTACTGCCAACAGCTTTCCTCTGCTTGTTCCCTGCACCGGCCCCAGCCTCGCAGGGCGCTTCACTCCAGGGGACTCCAGGGGACAACATGCAGGATGGAGTTGCTCAGCAAGGAGTTACTCCAAAGAAAACACCAACAGCAAAAGCTGAGACGCTGAACCAGCCACTCACGTCCACCAGTTTCATCACTTCCATCCTCTCTCGCCCTCTTCCCAGGGCGTTGCAAGGCTCGGGCCAGGCAGCACAGAGGAGGAAAAGGGCGCCCGTGTGGGCACCCAAGCGGCACCTCCAAAGGGTCTCCTCCTCCAGGAGCTGGAGGAGGCCTCCACGGGGCTCAGCATCGCTCTGCTGGCCCCCAGCAACCCCAGAGGCGTGAGCTGATGGGCAGGCCCAAGGCAAACATGTGCCCCAAATCCTCTCCCACGCTACGGAGCAGGTTCAGATGACATCTGCATGGCTGAGCACAGGCAGTGCCAGACCAGAGGCTGCCCTTTCCATGGTGGGCACCCATCTATTGCCCAAGTTTGGGCAGAACTTTTTTTTTGGCCTTCTCCACTTCTCATTTCCCTCTGAAGCGACAACATTTCTCCAGCACAAGAATACAACTATACAAGTTTTCCTTTACTCTCCGGGCAGAAAGACCCCATAGGGAGAGACAGGCATCCTTCCTGCCCTCTCGTGGCCCTGCCCATCGCGGGGTGACAGTGGCACCATGCTGCCCACAGGGACACAGCCGTGGCGGTGGCATGACTCTCCTCCTGCTCTGGTGTCCCATATCTCCAGATCATTTCTGCAAAGGATGACTCATCCCTCCGGGCTCGCTTAGCAGAGACATTCAGATGCAAAGCGGCTACTTCTGCCAATTATATTTCAACTCTTTGCCTGAGCAGGTTTTCCTCTGTTCCAGCCAATCTCCCCCATAGACCAGGGCTTCAAAGGAGACCTTTTGGGGAGCTTTCAGGCCACAGCCAGCTCCCCGGGGGGATCTGGAGAAGTTGCTAGGCAGCAGTTCTCCCTGGCTGGCTCGGTAATGCTTTATGCAATGATTTACAAGGCCCAGGAGGAGCCGGCAGCAATGAAATGCATCAGTCTCATTTCCTAGCGGCTCGGCGTTATTAAAACCACCTTTACATGCAAATGTCACGAAGACGCAAACAACAGACGCGGAGGCTGTGAGGCAGGAAAACCTGCACTAACGGGGTGGGGGGGGGAAAGGGAAAGCAAGGGAGAGCAAGCAGGGCTGGCCGAGACGGGGGAGGCCAGCCAGGGCAATCCGCAGGGGCGCCGGAGCAAGGGCGGAAACGAGGACCGTAGCAGGATCCTCCAAGGGATGCTACCAGGGCCGGTAAAGCCAGAAGCCGGCGAGAGTTCACCTGGCGAAGGGCATCTTGCTGCTGAGACGTGGCAGAGGCCAGCAGGATATGGTGAAGGGATTAAATGCCAGATGGAGGGGGGGGAAGAAGGATGCCTTAGGGAAGAAGGAGAAAGGGAGAAATAACAAGAAGATGCTCCGTCTATCTGCCAAAGGGAGTGCATCACTGCGTTACCCCGCAGCGAGCGACCGGCAGGCAAAGGCCGCCTGGC